AGGTCCTATTATTAAAGTTGCCAATGCTTCCCCTCTCAAGACCCTGTTTTCACTTGCTTATATTTTGTCAAAGTTTCACCGCTGGAGCAGAAATTTTGCATAGGAAGTGATTGTCTCAGCTGGAATTGGGAACATTTTGAAAATGTGGACCCACCACTAGTTTTCCGGGGCTAGATTATATATATATACAGCTCAAGGGACAAAAACTGTGGAATTTCTGGGCTTTCAAGCAAGGGCTTGGCCTTGGGCAGGACGTAAGTTTTTGTGTCATGGAGGCTGTGTTTTGCCAGCTCCATGAAGCACTACTGTTCTCCCCCACCAGCATGGACAAATTACATGGTTTTGTTAAACATGGGAAGAAGATTTGTCACAGCGTCACAGCTACAAGCTTTTCAACCTTTGCTAACCTGCCCAACCCTTTTGGTTTCTGAGGCTGTTATGACAACATATGGGCTTTCCCAGGGCGGAGCACTGCAGGGGGAAACTGGGAGGGCTCTCCGTTCTAGAGCTGCTGTTATGTGTCATGCACCGTTTGCATCTCTCAGTGCTTTCCTCTGCCCTGAGCTCTTAGCCACCTCTCTTTCGCCTTCTGGGAAGCCTGGTGGATAAAACTCCCTAATTTGAATACAGAATGAATGACACTCAAGGGAAAGAACCAAAAATCTGGGGAACAGCAAATGAAATTGGGAGGCAGATGAGAGCACAAGCTGCAGGGAAGTCCTGGGTCATTTGAGAAAGGGGCTACTGCCATATTACAGCCGTATCAGCTTGTGTTTCTGGGACTGGAGACTTCTCCAGTGTCCAAACAAGGGTCTTTTCCCAAGTCTTCCCCCAGGTCTTAATGTTCCTGCGCTGTTACCCCAAATGCGACCCGACAGCACATGTCACCTCTTGCCAATCCTGCTCCTTGTTGAGGACAACAGGCAATTGCTGCTCGCTGTTATATCAGAATACACATTTCTCATCACTGAGAAATGTCAGCACCAAGGCTGTACAGCTGCCCTTCAATGTCCTCGTGCATATGAATTACGGTCGAGTCTTTAATTATGTGGCCATGGATTTATTTTCCACAGGACACCTGTAGCACACAGGTTAGATGGTGTTCTGGATGAGTCTGGGCTGTGTCACAAAGAAGGCTCTTCGGAGGGACTCAGCATCATCTTTCTGTTGTTGTGTTCTTTTTTTTTTTTTTTCCCAAAAGTGTGAAGAGAAAAGGGTGACTCATTGCTGAGGCAGTTGTGTGCTGGCCTGGATCCTTGCCCTTGCTGCGGATTTCCTACCTGATGCTGAGCGAGTCACTCACAGCAATCTTTTCAGAGGCAGCTATTAGCTATGTTTTATTTATTTTGGCATTTTGCTTTGTTTTTAGCCTTGTGCTATCCTGGGATCCTGATGTCTCATTTGCAGGAGTATTTATTGCTCCCTGCTGCATGTGAAGGGGGACTTGCACCTGACTCTAGAAAATGCTTTAAACTGCAGAGTGCTCTGGTAAAGTGCTCAGATCAGCATCCCCACCTTGCAGGCTGCCTTTGACCTTCCCTCCAGGAATGCTGGATCTTCCCTAAAATGCTGCTATGTCGCTCAGCATGAGTTTTGAAAAGGCAAATCTATTAGTGTTCGTAATGTCCTGAGAAACTAGGTGTATGTTGTGTAAAAGAGGCTCTGTGAATATCGATCACTGTTTTTGGAGTGGGGGCTGCACATTCTGAATAAGCTGTGAGTCAATGCTTTGAAGAACTCTGGCAGCCCTGTTGGACGTGTCAAGCCACAGGTACCTTCCTGCTCAGGTACCTTTGCTCTTGAATGGCAGGTGGAAATGTGTTTGTCCTCGCTTCTCATCTCTTCTTACTTACACTGGCCTTGCAGAAGTAGAACCTCAGCACAGTGTCAAAGTTTTGTCTGCTCTTTCCCTGATTGCTCACACTTCCTGAGCACATGCAAGTGTCTCTGTGGCAAACTGACCTTGGTCTTCAAAGCAGTTTATCCTTCTCTACAGAGTGGGTGAAATGGGATTCTGCTCTTTGTTGATCAGGCAGAGCTGCCAAACGCGACCTGGCAGTTCTCTGAGCTCTGCTAGGTCACTGGAGCTCAGCTTTCCCATGAGTTTTACTAGGTGCTATGAATATCGTATACTGTGACTCTGGAAGGCCACCCACCCAGCCGTGACACTGTGAATAAGCAGCACAACTCTAACCCTTCTTTTCTTTTCCTACCTGAGGAGTGACATCATGGGCAGTGGAGAGGCTGGCTGTGTGCCCGGTGAGGTGTAGCCCCCTTGGATACACCAGCCCACAAGCATCTGCTCAGGACACGTTGCTGTGGGCTCCCTCTGCAGCGCTGCAATGAGAGCACTGGGGACAGCCCAAGGACCTTTGCATGTGAACAGGACAGCAGCCAAATGTAACCCATCTTCTGCTTGTCTGCCTTCAGCAGCAGCACTCCCTGTAGCATCTAGGGGTGCTTTGACCACGTCTGAATCCTGTGAAGGTGTCCTGGGTGCAGGGCCCCAGTTGCTGAGCTGAGGGGCTTGGATTCCCTTCCATGCTCTTGTACCCAAAGATCCCTTCCAGGCAAACTGGGACAAGGTGAGGCCTCCTGGGGCCTCATCCAGGAATGTTGTTTTGAATGTGTGAGCTTTGTCTCATCACTGGCTCTGGGGGGTTAGACAGCCTTCCAGGTGCTGCTGCCTGAACAGAGCCTTAGTGTACCTTGGTTGGTGCCTAACACAATGCTAACCTGAGAGGACATTCCTCGTTGGAAAGGTACACAGAGGAGAAAAGGTGCTGCAGGTACCCACCACTTTGATCACTGTGAGGAACGGAAAAGGCCCAGCAGAGTTTGTCAGCATGGATTCTGCTTGTCCCTTGAATTTATTCCCTGTCCAACCCAACCCTGGCTGGCCTCTCTCTAGTTGGGATCCTGCTGCTTTTGTCATATATAACAACTTCCTTTTTCAGACACTGGGGCAGAAGATACTTGTTGCAGTACTGGAGCAATGACATCCCTGATGGAGACAGGGTCCCTACAGTACTGGCTGCTACATGCATAGCCAAAATCAACATCCCCTGGCCCAGGCTCCCTAATAAAAAATATTCCATGAGAAGAGGTGTAACTAGGCAATACTTGGAGAGAGGTGGGTGTTAATAGATCACATGGCTAGCCAGCACTAAAAGCTTGATTACAATTCAATTAAGGGAATGTTTCTAATTAAAGAGTTCTTATTTTAAGCTGTCAATGATTAAAATAAAGGTAGCTTTAGTGTCTGTACACACTCCAGTTTCATCCCCAAGGGCTTCATCTACATTAGGGATTTCTTCAAATTCCCTCCCGCTGCCTCAGTCAGCAACTGGGGGAGAGTTGGTATGGCCACTGTCCTCCCAGACCTTGCACCTGCCGGACAAGCAGTGTCACCCCAAACTCTGCTCCCACAAGGCATGCAGAGAGCTGCTTCTCCCGGATGCTGATTCAGATCCATCCTTCCCAGCTCCATACCAGAGCCCACCTCTCTCAGTGCCTGTATGAGCCTGCCACTTGCAGCAAAGTCATGAGCAGTGCTGGGCTTTGGCAAATCCCCTCTCTGCTGATGTGCATCCACCCAGGGAAGGAGAGCAACCCTTAGCTGGATCCAGCAGTGGCTGCATGCTGTTACCTGCCTTCCCATCTGCTCACTGTTACATAAGCTGTGAAAAAACAGAGGCTCAATGGAGCATGTGCAAGGAAATGTCATTACTACGAAAAACTCAATTAAATTTTAAATTCTCCAAGTGCAGGCAAAGTTCTGTAATAAAGCAGGTCCAGCAGTGGGAAAGGGAAGCAGTACCGGTTCCCAAAGGCTTGCATAAAAGAGGAACAGCTCTCAGGTCTCAGTGGACTGTCAAGTCAGCATGGGCACTGGCTGGCAGTGGCATTCAGAAGGTTGCAGCCCCCCATCTTGGTACAACACGGAGCAATGACTGCTCTCTGCAGCACACAATGCCAGCATGGCTGCAGCCTGGGCCTCTTGGTGCTGACAGCCTGTGCTTACATTGTATGTTTCGAAGCTGATGTCAGGGGCCTGGCTTAGAAGCACCTAAGGGCTCTTCCCCATCACACTTATCTCCAACTGCAGGAACTGGGGTTCTTGACTTTGGGATGCCTGTGCCAGAGCAGCTCCTGGAGCCTCCAAAGCTGGGCACCATCTGGCTCTTGCTCTACAGAACCCTCTGTCCCTTCCAGCCCACACTACACTGGCCTCCAGCCTTTTCTGCAGTCCTGCTCCCAGAGCTCTCAACAGCACCTCCACTGGCTCCTTTGCACATCCAGCCCCCATCTCCCGGAAGCCCCCAAGTTGTTCCCCAGCGTGGGCTCTGCTCCTATACGCCCAGAAAGGTCTGATACATCCTGCCTGCTCCCCTTTCGGAGCTTTCGGAGGTGCTCTGAGGCTTGCTGTGCCCACCTGTCCCACAAACACCCCAGGGTCTGGGGGGCAGCCCCAGCTTTGCTCCCATCTGTTGGTGGGTGCCTCATGGGCCTCTGTCTGTCCACACTAGGGCTTGTGTGCGTGCTTCCTTATTTGTGTGGATTTGCAGGTGCTTCACCCAAGGGGCATCCCCACTCCTGAGGGGCCTGGGCTGAGGAGCCCTGAACACAGTGGGGCCTTTCTGATGGACCCCCGCTTGACATCCGCTGCCAGCGCGACGGGACACAGCACCCTCCTTCGACCATCCCCATGCGGGGCTACCCCGCTGCGGGTGGCTGCCGTGGGTGGGCTTGCTCCATGCTGAGCAGGAACCTTCAGCGGGGTCGCGGTCCCCAAAACCGAGCCCGTGTGCGTCTGCTCCGCCCGCCGGAGCTGAGGGACGGCGGCTGGGAAGGCGCCGGGAGCGGCGGCAGTTGCGCCTTTAACGGCGGGCGGAGGAGGAGGCGGAGGAGGAGGAGGGCCGGGGCTGCGTTGGGTGACATCAGTGGGTTTGGCTCCGGGGCTCAATGGAAACTGGGTGAGCGCCGGGCTGTGCCGAGCACACGCCGGCTGGAGGGGACGGCGAGCGGGCGGGAGGCGGCAGGCAGCGCCGCGCCGCGCCGAGCCGAGCGAAGGAGGGACGCGCCGGGCACGGCCGCCGCCAGCCCTCCCCAATCCTCCGTCATCCTCCCCGCCGCGGCCGCCTGGCCCCCTGACAGCCGGCGGAGCAGCATCCCCACACGGCCCCCTTCCCGTCAGGGTGGGTATGGGGGGCGCCCGCCCGCATCTTGGGGCGCAAACCCCGGGGGAAAGGCGGCCCCTCCGGCTCTTTGTGTGCGCGGAGGGAGGGGGAGGGGGCGGGGGAGGGGAGGGCAGGGCGCGATGCGCCGGGCCGGGGGGGCGCGGGGGACAAAAGCCCCTTTGTGGGGGCGCGGGGAGGGGGTCGCCCCCTCCGCCAGCGGCAGATTTTGGGGGGGCTGTTCCCCCTTCTCCCCTTTTTCCGCCTGCCGGGGCCCTGCCTGGCTGCCGGCGGGGCCGGGTGGGGAGGGGGGTGCCGTGTGTCCTCGGCGGGGTCTGCGGGGGTCCCGGAGGGGGGCCGCCCCCCGGGGGATTTAGCCCCCCACCCCTTCCGTTCACTGATGCTCCGGGTCTCCCTCCCCGGCCCCCCTCGTCGCCTCTTCGGGGGAGAAGGGGTGTCTGCGTTTGGGGGGATTGTGGGGTCGATATTTCCTCTTGTGGGGGGCGGTAGGGGCGGGGGTCGATGCCGGGTCCGGATGCGAGTGGGGGGACGAGGAGAAGTTCAGCGCCGTTCCCGGGGGTGGCAGCTTTTTGTTACCTACCCGGAAAAATAACAGCCCGGGTACGGCTGTCTTCGCGTAGTGTTTGCCTGTAGGGGGTGGGGGTGTAAGGGACAGATTTATTATTATATTTTTTGGTGTGTGTCCCCCCTTTCCTGTTTTCCTGTTGTGGCTGTTTCTTCCTCAAATGTAGTTCAAATGCTCTGTGCTTGGGGTTTCTTTTCTCCCCCCATCTTATTTGCTGCTCTCCTTTCTGTAAGTGTCTAAGGGTCTGGAGGGGTTTGGTGTTTTGCATTTCAATCAATGTAATTTTTTTCTTTTTTCCTTCACATTTTTAAGCCAGGTCAAATTACTGGTTTCCCAGCCTATCTTTTTTTCCCTTCAAACACCCCCCCCCCAAAAAAAAAAAAAAAAAAAAAAAGAAAAAAGCCGTTTAAAGCCTTAATAGTCTTTGGGTAAAGCAGCCCCCACTCCCTACACTTCCACTGAAAGCTGGAGCATTGCTAGGATCGGCAGCCTCCATTATGGAGCCGTGGGTTTGGTTTTGTATGGCTTTTGCCAGACAGGGCATCTTCTCATTCCCGACCCCCTCGGGTGGGACAGAGGTGTCCCTCCTGTCCCCCAGCCACTCTTGATGGTCCCCCCCTCCACCCCTCCAACATGGTCCCTGCATCGTTGGTCGCCATCGCTGCTGGCACAGCAATGTGATATCAACTCTTATCGTGTGTTTATATAATGGCCTTTGTGCCTGTACGTGGGTATTTTATATTATATAAAAGGGGCTGGTGCAAAATGGTGTGTGTGGGGAAGCAGCGCTGGCGGCTGGATAGTTTTATTATTTTTTTTGAGATTGTGTAGTATTGGATATTCATGTATGCAAACACTCATGCAGAGCACACTCTCGCTCTGAGGTTGTATGTGTGTTAATCCCTTATGGAAAACTAAATGGTTTAACTAAATGATTGCCCTGCAGCCCCTGGGAATGCTGCCTTGGCTGTAGAGTGCAGGAAGGGTGGCAGGGCTGGGGGGTTAAGGCTGTGGGGGGTGGGGTGGGAAGGAGGGTTGGCTTTTAAATTTTACATGTATAAATAACACACAGAGGGGTGATACAAATTTCACATGTAAGAATATATATTTTGTGGGTACAATTTTCTTTCTTCTTGTAACAGTAGACCTGAAGATGAGGAGATAAAGGGCGGAAGCTGTGGATGGTGGTGGGGGTATGTGTGTGAAATAGAAGCAAATGGGATAGATGTTTGAACTCCTGGAGCAGTTGTTGAGGGGGTGGGATGTATGTGTCCTGCCCTCTTACCAGGAATCCAGGCTCTTGCTCTCTGGCTATCCTCAGCCCAGGTTTTCAACTCACACTTGTGTATGTATATGTGTTGGGGGGGAGATAAGGCAAAATGACAGCTGTGCGAGACCATGATTTTTTTTACTCCATTATCCTGCTTCCCGCTTCCACCCCCGCGCCCTGGAGCATTTTTTAGATTCCCCTTTGGAGCCTGTTGCTTAATCAGCTACAAGGCTGCTGCCTCGTTGTGTGAGAAACCCTTCTTAACCTGGCTCCTGCCTGTCCCAGAAGGGTGGGTCCGAATTTAGGTTAGGGACTGTGGTGTTGCAGAGCAGTACCTGCAGTGTCCCACCGGGCCCTCTTGCCCAGTCTCTGCCGTGTGCTCAGCTGTGCTCGCCCCAGCTGGGAATTGGACTCAAGTGGAAGTGCTCGGGGTTCACAGGCCTGGGTGAGCACTCCATGAAGGAAGGAGGATCGGGAGCTGTCTTCTTGACAGTGGTGTGACGGTTCCTGGGGACACAGACCTTTGATCGTTTATTGGAGTAGGAGTGTAAGCAAGTCAGATGTATGTTAATGTGGTTATACAGAACAGCAGGCAGCAGATAGAAATCATGTCTGTTTGCTGCGCCCTCACCCAGGTACGCCTGCCTTCTGGTTCAGTTCCCAAGGCTCTGCCTACATTCCTGGTAGTAAGAAAGTCAGAAATAGCCACAGGGTTTTCTAGACTTCAGATGGACAGAAACCCACATGCATAAGCAAATACTAGGTGAGGGGACTCCACCTCTGAGTGTTTTTGTGTGTGGTTTCTTGTGACTGGAGCTCTGCTTTCAGGGTTCACAATGTCCCCTGAATGCCTTGATAGGATTATTTCCCTGTACATCTCCGCAGCCCATCCATTCTTCTGTAATCCCATCTCCTGGGGCAGGGAAGCAGCTCTGGGTTTATAGTATGCCCAGAATCCTGTGGCTGGGATTATTTTTTTGTACTTCTGCCTCACAAGGCCATTTCTCCCTTCTTTCCTACAGTGATGCTTCCTTCCCACCGAACTCCAGCAAGAGAAAGTTCCTCGCTCCCACTTGTGAAAACATGAATCATTCCTCACCTTTCCTGTCCCCAACAGGCTCTGTGTCTGCATTTTGTACGCTAATAATGTGGCACTGCATAAATTAGGACTGTGGCAAATCCCTCTGAAAGGAGACACATTGTCTGTCTCAGGAAGAGATGTGGTTTCTAGAATAAATGGGTGGACATAGAAGAGGCAAGGGAAAGGGGGCTGTTAAGATGGGAGCTGCTGGAGCTGTGTTTGGCCGAGGTGTTTGCAGCAGAAGTTGAGGTTGGCAGAGAGAACAAACTCTGTGGCTGTGGTCCTTCCACCCAGTTGGTTTTCTGTGGTAGGTGAGTAGGCTGAGCCTGGGCATGTTGATAGGGTACATGAGGTCAAAGGGTTAGCTAATCATCTCAGGTAAAGGGATGAGGAAAGGCCTGAGCTGCTAAAAACAAACAGCTGCCATACCTAGGTAGGCAAGAGAGTTGGAGAGGCTCAGGTAGACCAAAGGAGGTGGTGATCAGCAGAAGTGTGTGGAGATGAGCAAGGGGTGTTCCTAGCCAGTGTGTGCCTGGCAGGGTTCAGTTCAGCGAGATGTCTCCTCCCTGTGCCGGCCCCTGCCTAGGAGAGATGCAGTCACTTGCTCCTGGCAGTCTGTCTGTCCCTCGCAGCCCTTGGGTCCTTTGCTTCACCAGCACTGAGGTGTTGGAGTAGGGCTGGGTCAGAGGGAAACTCCTCATAGAGTTTGTTATTCCTGACCCTTCTGGTGTCTCAGAAGGTACTTCTGTCCCAGTGCCAGGTACTGTAAGGTACAGGAAGCAGTACCATGCCACCTCTTTACAGTAGTGTGGCATGATCACGCACTGAAACCTTCTTAGAAGGGGTTTCCTGAACCCCTCCCTAGTCTCTGAGCAAAAAGAGGGGAAGAGGTTCAATCATGCTTCATTCTAATAATGGGAACATGTGAAAAACAAGCTTGAGAGTGTTCTGGTCCTGCAGTGTTTCTTGCTCATGCTGTCCCTGGAAATTCAGATCAGGAGAGGTGATGGAAGCTATGTAGAAAGTGAAGTATTTCAAGATTTAAAACTGCTCAGCCTCTGGATGAAGTGGGGAAGTCTCTTCTGCAGTCTTACATGATTCACTTCCTGTTTCTGCTCTGACACTGCTCTTTCTGTGCCTCTTTTCTTAGCACGACTGAACCATGGAGCTTCGAGTGGGAAACAAATACCGGCTGGGCAGAAAGATTGGCAGTGGTTCGTTTGGAGACATTTACCTAGGTGAGTGTGAGAGTCTGTCTCAAGGTTGGTTTTCTCAATTGCATCATTGTTTTGGGGTTGTTTTTCTTGCCTGTTGGTATTTGTGGGCACCATGTAAGGTTGGATGGGGTGGAGAAGGGAAAAAAACTAATGGAATACTGCTAGTGGCTGCTGGCCTTCTCATGGTAAAGAAAGGGGGATGAGCTCAGCTTTGACTTACCACATACTGAAGACACAGTGCTGGTTGATCAGACTGATTTAGATTTGGACTGTTTGGGGCATAGTTGTCATATACTCTATTCCAGCATTCTCACTTCCTTTTCTTGAGCTTGGGTGTGTGTGGGTATAAACTCTGTTCACAGAGCGTGTGGTGGAAAGGGAGGACATAGCTATTCCTTCAAGGATAGAAGGAATGCTGTTTTGGGAAGACTGGTAGTGGAAGAGGTGGTCCAGGACCTGTAAGAGAAAGGTATGAGATGAGGAGGTGTAAAACAGGTCAGAGAGCCTGGCCTGGTTGAAGTCCTCGGGCTCAGATCTGTTAGATCTGTAATGGGATTTAGAATTAATGTCTGAAATGACCTGAGCTGGAAGCTCAGTGGACAGAGCCCATGAGGTGCTGGGTTTCCTGTTACCACAGCAGGTCACCTGGGTAGAAGTTCTTCCAAGCCAGTGTGCTGATGTGTAGATATGTTCCCTGATGCTTGCCTGCTCATGTTTTTATTGGCTCAAACCATGTGGGGCCAGAGTGGCGAGACTACCCAGCAGCCTGCTCGATCCCTCCATCAGGGCTGGTGTTACCTTGTCTCTGGTTCTCACCACTACCTGTTCTGCTGTGGTCCTGCAGGCCAGCTGAAGGGCTGCCCTCTGCTTTAGTGTCCGCACCCTTTGGGTACTTGCAGGTGGTTGTCATGTGCTCCTTGACTGTTAATTTGTTCAGTTGAGGTGTATTTCGGTTCCCAGTATATCCACCACTCCTCACTTTTGCTGGTCCTTCAGTTTTTCCTAGTTTCATCTGCTGAGCAGCTTGGAGTCAACACTGCTTTTGAGGTGTGGCATTTCCAGTGCCTGGCAGTGGAGGACTACCCTGGGTGATCTGTAATGTGATGCCTCTGCATAGGCTGCTTTGAGTCTCCTTGGCTTTCCCCATAGCCAACACTATCAGGTTACAGAACTGGCCATAACACACTGTCAGCTGTATCGTTGGAGAGCTCTTCTAGAATCTCCAACATCTTCCCATCCCTCCCCAAATCCCTTTCATTGAATACCTCCAGTTCAGATTACATTTTCCTCTGATTGTAAATCACCATCTATAATCAACCTCTGGTTTTTATTTCCAGTTCCCTCTTGCTTTATTATTCTCTCTTGCTTGGTGCTGGCAGCCCCTCTTGATTAAGTGTCCTGTGGGAATCATCAGTAACAGGCTTTGTTGCCACCTTTATCCAGAACATGAATAAAGGATAAATAATGGATCTGGGATCCCAGTTCCACTGTGTGCTGCCTTTACTACAGCCTGTTCCTGTATGCTGCTCCTGTGTGGGCCTTCAACCAGTTAGTGTCTTGGATGACAGTGGTTTTAATTCCCAGTGCTAGGATTCAGGGATGGTAGCTCAGACACAGCATTTTCCACATTTGCTATGTCTTGAAGCATTGCAGACCCTCTCTACGATAGTGTAAATTGCCAGGATCTTGCTAAACATCTGGGGTACATATAGGGAGAGAAAGGAGGTACTGAATGGAAAGACCTGATCCTGTATTGCTCTGTACCATGTAACAGGTCATCCGCCTGTGCAAATCAGGTATGGAAAACAGGCCCTGGTGAGGGGGTTGTGCCTGCCTTGCCTGTCACCAAACAGAAGAAGCCCAGTGCCCCAGTGTGGTGAGCACAGCAGGATTCAACCAAGTTACTTGAATGCAGTATCAAAGCCCTTGTGATGTTCCTTGAGGTGCAAGCCAGCATGTTTTGAAGCAGTGATAGCGAGACTTCATGGAGCCTGGGTGACTCCCCAGCCTGGAGGGATTGGGCATGTAGTCTGTGGTGGTGTGTCTGGAGGACGCTTGTGTTCATGCTATGCTCTCACGGCCTTCTCTGCAGACGGAAGGACTCATTCACGAGGACTTCTCTCCTGCACCAGGTTCACCTCAGCATTCTCTCCTTTGATAATGGTGTGGATACAGAGCAGGGCTTGTCTGTCTCTGAGGATTAGTAGGGGCTATATGCTTTATCCTTCTCTTTCAGGGTGTTACTACCTTCACCTGCTCTATAACCAATGGGTGCTGCCTGCTGTCCTCTTGGGGTTTGTTTTAGGTTTTTTGTCTGTCAGAAGGAAACTTGGATTTTTACGTGGGTAGATACAAAGGATGGACTGTATTAATCCTTAGCTGGGTCTTGAAGCACATTCCTTCCATGCCCTACTTTGAAGGATAGATGTGCCAGGTGGAATACTCTCTCCGCATTGGTTTGAGAGGGTGGGAAATGAGATCAGGCTGCCCATGAGCCTTGGCTAGCCCATTTACCTCTAGAAATGCTCATTCAGAAGAGCAAACCCAGTTTGCAGAGGAATTGCCGAGACCTTTGGGCTGCTGGAGGGGGAGGTGCTTTGTCAGAGGTGCTGGCCAAGAGGCAGGGCAGGGTTGCTGGACGTGTAGGAATGGTTTGGCCGGGATGCACACTGGTGGTGGAGAGGAGCTGGGCAGACAAAGCATGCTGGGACCTGAGCTGGCTGGGGACAGTTCCTGGTGGCAGGCTCCTCCCTTGCTGGGAGGGGAGTGCCTTCCCTTTGTTTCCTGGCTTGTTAACTCTCTCTCGCCCTATCTGCCTTCATCCATCTGTTCCCAGCCCTCCATTCTTCCCTCGGCAGGCTGTAGAGAGGGGCACAGATGATGGGGAGTGTGGGGCCTCTGCCTGTTGCCCCCGATGCTCAGGGAGGGCGGTGTTTATTGTATCAGACATGCAGTCAGGATTCCACTCTGAAAAGATCCTGTTCAGCCGGTGACATCCTCTGTCCCCGGGGCCCCGTTTCAAAGAGCTTTTGATGAATGAGTTGAATTTGTGCAGCCCCCACAGCGGAGCGAGACTGGGGGAGGATGTTTGGAATTATCCCCCATCCTACATTCAGTCTCTCGAGTGGCTGAAGCTAGCAGACTCTGCTGTATTTGCCTGAAACACGGTGCTTTCCAGTCTGTAAAGAGAGCACAGAACTGTTGCTTTTGTACTTGTAGCTTTAAAAAAGATGGTGGTCGAAGCATGGAACAAAGGATCAGAAAGACTGCTGCCCTTAAATTCCCTCCTCGCTAGTGGTGGTCTTGATCTAGGTGGATCTCTAGCCAAGAAATAGTACAGGGAGCAACTTGTAGACATGGTGAGGTTTGGAGAGGGAACAAGCCGAAAGAGTTCAGACAGTGACCCCCTGAGCAAAGGCTAGGTCAGACTGGTCCAGAGAAGGACCACAATAATGGTTAGATGGATGAAGCACCTCTATTATGAGGAAGGGCTGAGAGAATTGAGATTGTTCAGCCTTGGAGAAGAAAAGGCTTTGGGATGACCTAGTTCCAGCCTTCCCTCCCTGAAAGAAGCATACAAGAAAGACTGGGAGAGACTTTTTGCAAGGGCACATAGTGATAGGACAAGGGGAATGAGTTTAAATTGAAAAAGGTTTTGATTATAGATTAAGAAGAAATTCTTTGCTATGAGGGTGGTGGGAGACTGGAAAAGGTACCCCAGAGAAGTTGTGGATGCCACATCCCTGGAAGTGTTCAAGGCCAGGCTGGATGGGGCTCTGAGCAACCCGACCTAGTGAAAGGTGTCCCTCATGGCAGGGGTGTTGGAACTAGGTGATCCTTAAGGTCCCTTCCAACCCAAACCATCCTCCAAGTCTGCTTGTGCTCTTCTAGGCCACAGGGTTATTTGTTCTTTCTCTAAGTAACACTTGTGCTTGGGCTATGGAGAGTGGGACTGAAGGCCATCTGAGCATCTGAATCACATAATCACATTTTGAAGAATCAGAGTCTTCTTGATGTCTACCCCTGCTTTCCCTTTATGTGCTCACAGATAACACTCCCTACCTGCAGACAGCCCAGTAGGTGGATGCATCTCCATGTTTCTGAACACCCAGGGTAATGTGGAGATGAAAACTCGTTCATGTTTCCATGGTTCATGTTCTGGGAATCAGGTTCATTCAAAATGCTAATGCTGCAAAAAGTCAGAGAGATTCATCATTTCTTTTGTGTCAGAAAATGTATCAGGAGAGGGAAAAATTCTCCCTTGTCTCTGGGAGCAGACAAGGGAGCTGCTTCAGAGGATTTCGAGGAAAGTCTTCACAAAGGCAGGGGAAAGAGACAAGGGAAGGAAGTGCTCTTACGTTTTTTGGATGTCCTGGGTGTTTCCATGCTGAATGAGAGCCGGTGGTTGAACACTAATTTAAAAGGTGGAAGGATACTAGTCCCTTTTCTTACTCTTTTCCTCCTTGCATCACCTGGTGCTTTTAAGAAGGGTCCTCTGGTGGAGTGAAGGGAATATACGGACTTGTTTTTCTGGCCACCAGTTTTTAAGTGGAAAATGCCAGCATCTTTTCAAAAGTAAGCATTGGACAAATGTTTCTGCCTCTCAGGACGGCTTTTCCCCTTTCCCTTCTCCTGGATCCTGCATTAAAATCTGTATTAAATTAATCCCATTGCTCCTCCTTCCCCTCCCTCAGAACACCCTAAATAATTCCTCTCCCTCCTTAGTGTTTACAGCCTTCAAATATTTGTAGACTGTTGTCATGTCCCATTCTTCTCCCCACCCTTCTTAGTTGTATCTCTTGTCTATGTTACATATTTAGCTCTTTTAATCTTCCTTAGTAAATCAATCCCTCTAGGCCCCAATCGTTTTTGTTGCTCTCTTACAAATTCCTAGCAGCTTGTCTGTCTCAACCCAGCGCTGCAGCATCTAGATCATGTGTTTTTGCTAGCAGGCAGCTCTTGGCTAACTTTGTGTACAAGCCAGAACTCTTCAGCTGGAGATGGATCTCTTTCAGATCCATGGGGAGAAGCAATCCAGTTGTGTGAACATTTCCTTCTTTTCTTTGGTCCCTGGCTCTGGAGGCAGTGTGTGAAAGAGGATAACTGAAAAGATTTATCTGCAGCTTGTCCTTGTGGACTCTTAAAGTCTTATCTCAGGGTTCAGGAGGCACAAATTAGCCAGACCTACCAAAACTAGCTATGGGATATCTGCAAAACATCACCTTTGATTCCAGCTCATGTTTGGCATGCATGTTCTGGAGTAGTTTATTTTATGACAGTGTTCATAGGCTGCTTGTGATCAGGGCTGCTCTCTGATTTGTGTTTAAGTGAAATTTCTAATAGTTCCAGATATGAGGAGGGGCTTGTCTTAGTGTGCGAAGCAGGCATGGTGGAGGAGGAGAAAAGCAAGTCTTGAGTGTCATTCCCGTGACCCGTGTACAGATATTCCTCCTTTCCATTTTAGGATGATGTGAAACATCTGGAATCCTTTCAGCTAGTACAAGAAAAGGAGCAGCCTGTTCCTTCTTTGACAGTGCACTTTGGGACCAGAGTGCTGGCTTTTGCAGCTGGCAGCTCAGTTGTTTTCAGAGAGAAGTGTATGGGGTAGTGGTTTAGTGTAATTGCAAGTATCTAGCAATACCTTCAACAAAGGTGTCCAGACAGCTTAATTCAGGACTGGATTCTGCTTATTTCTTCATACTTCTAATTTGTGATATAGCAAATGTTTCTGTGTTGGCAAAAGATAAAGGTATTATTAAAACCCTCAGGAGAGAGAGAAGCTGGGGATTTGGAAATTGTCTGTATTGAGCAGGTCAGTGCTGTGGAGAAAAGAGAGAGCTCGCATGTTAGTAATGTTTCATCCTGAACTAATTGGCTGTATTGAAATTATGTAACTGAGGTAACCAGTAATTTTTCTGGGGAAGAGATACTCCCTATCACTACCTGAGGGACTGCTTGGGTTCAGGGGCTAGGTTTATGATTAGAGGAAGCTACAACGTCCACTCAGGAAGGTTTAGGTACTGTTGATCTGTGCAGATTGGCCTGCCAAAGTCTGTCACTTTTTGAGATAACAAGGCAGTTCACATGTAGGATTGTTGTTCTAGACTGACTTCAGGATCAGACCAGGTTTCCTATTCATGTGCCTCTCTCTGGCTTGCGTTTACAAATGGCAGTGCTGGAAACCGTATGAAGTTGAAGTAGCTGAATCTAATTTCTGTCATAGAGAATAAATTTCAGGGCAAATCTTAAGGTCTTGGCATCTTTACAGGCCTTGTTAGAAGTGTTTAACTTCAGTAGAAACTTGTGCAATCTTCATTTCACTCTCATTCCTATGCAGGAGCCAATATTGCAACTGGTGAAGAGGTGGCCATCAAACTGGAATGTGTCAAAACCAAGCATCCCCAGCTCCACATTGAAAGCAAGTTCTACAAGATGATGCAGGGAGGAGGTGAGATGGGGAGGAAATTATGGGGATGGGGGAGTGGTTGGAGAAGGAAACTATTCTGGAGGGCTGTAGAAAATAAATTATTTGGTGTTACACATGAACTTCTCAGCAGGGGATTCAACATCTATTCTCTCTGTTCCCTGGGCTTAATCTTTTTCTTTCCCCAGTGGGTATCCCCTCCATTAAGTGGTGTGGAGCAGAGGGGGACTACAATGTGATGGTGATGGAACTCCTGGGGCCCAGCCTGGAAGATCTCTTCAACTTTTGTTCCCGCAAATTTAGTCTCAAGACAGTTCTGCTGCTGGCAGACCAGATGGTGAGTTTCCTCTGAAGCATTTGTGCCTACTCTCCTTTTCCATGCTTTTTCCCCCCACACACTCCCTTCCCATTCCCTCTGCTTAAGAACTGCTGCATCTGAGGCTTTCTTCATTTAGCACAAGTGGCTGCCAGCTTTCTATTTCTTGATGAAGTTGGGGGCCTGGAACCTAGGCACTGGTGGCATTTCCTTATCTCCATCCCTCCTTCCTTTGCCTGCTGCTCGCCTTGTGTTAGTGTTGCACACATAGATACTTTTGCCTGTGTGATGAATTATTGGCACCTATTTTAATTCCACTGCTCATGCCTTGGGTTCAAGACCCTTAACTCTTCTGAACAGGCCCATTCCTTTCCTGGCTCAGCTAAGTTCAAAAGTTGACAGCTGTCAATGCTGAAGCTCAAAGTTTTAGTCCCTATAGACTTGCTTCCCATCTTTCCTTGTGATGTTAATGGTGACCTTCTCAGAGTGAGGACTGGGTTGGTGTGCAGGGTTAAATTCCATCTCCAGATCCTGCAGCGTCCAGAGGGTGTCATTTCCTTGGCTGTCATCACTGATACTCAATGCAAAGTGTCCTTTTCTTGCTCTGATGGGCCAGTGTCTTGAACGGGGTACTATTTTTAACAGATGCAGTTAAAATAAGTTTGTTTCTTGCTTGTCTCACAATTTATTTATTTATTTGTTTATCTATCCCTCCTCTAGATCAGCCGTATTGAGTACATTCATTCCAAGAACTTCATCCATCGGGATGTGAAGCCAGACAACTTCCTTATGGGCCTTGGCAAAAAGGGCAACCTAGTATACATCATTGATTTTGGTTTGGCCAAGAAGTACCGAGATGCCCGGACCCACCAGCACATCCCTTATCGGGAAAACAAGAATCTGACTGGCACAGCCCGTTACGCCTCTATCAACACCCACCTGGGAATCGGTGAGCCTGCTGTTGCCTCTCGGTGGGGCTTTCCAGAGGAGGTTGTGTGTCCCCAGAAGGAGGGGGTTGGGTTATTTGCCTCACTCTGCTGCTGACCTGCCTTGAGATGGTGGGCAAATAACTTAAATGCTACACCTGTGTAACTTCTGCTGCTGTGGTGGCATTCTGAGCTCCTTGAAGACAGAAATCGTCTCCTGGTCTATGTGTGTGCACTGCTCAGTGCACGGGTCCCTGTTGAGCATTAAGGCTGTGACCTCCCTGACTGTGCTCCTACTAAATCTGCCTTTGCACAATTTTTGCAGGCTGATTAGATGTGTAAAGGAGACATTCACAAGCACTGAGCCTTTAGGAATATGTGCAGTTGAAACCTGTCTTTTTGACTCCTGAGTGCCTTCATCAGTGATTGTTCTGTAGCTGTCAGAGCTGGAAGATAAGAGGCCCCTGCAATGTGGTGTTACCTACTACTGAGGATGGGGATGTGCAGGAAATATACAAGAAGCTGAAATTGAGGGGAGGCTTCTAGCTGCCTGGACACCCCTGTTCTGTGATTGAGGATTGGCTGTCACAGGCCTTCAAAATAGACACGTGTCTGTGAACTACACAAACTCAGTGAGGCAACTTCGGAGTAGGGTTCTGTCCTTAATGTGTGTGGTTAGTACTGAGGAGATGAAACTAGGCTGGAAAAGAATGATGAGTGTTCAGCCAGGTCTTACACTGGTGATGACCATCATCCCAGGTTTTGTAAAAGCCTTGTGCCAGTTAGTAGCCACCATGCTTAAACCTCCTGAAGTCACCGAAACTATTGTCCTGGGAGTCAGCCCCTGGTGGCTGTGAAAAACTTCTTTCCAGCATTTGACCTCCTTTCTCTGCTAAATTAAAGCTAAACTTTGTTCACACTTTGAGGCCTCCTTAGTTACTGTAGGGTCCATTTGGAGCAAGCTGACTTGGTTCTGCTATTGACTGGCAACTCTTAAGGAGCAGAAACATGAATGCTGTCTTGCCTGTTGGACCCAGGGAAGTATCTGCTTTGCTTGCAGATTGTTTATATCTCTGGAAGGCGCTTCTTCTCAAGTGTATAACCTCACCTGGGAATTTGAAAATCAGAGCAAGGCACTCAAAACTTTCAAACTAACAGCTTCCACAGGATTTCATGTCCTCATTCTTCCTGCATTCTCCCCTCTTGCAGATATTTCTCAGATATCTGAAGTTCAATACTTGGCCTGCAGAAAATAAAGCAGTTTTTCCCAATGTCTTCCTTGCTTAATACTATATAACTTTAGATGGAGAATGCTTTATTTATATCAAAATGGGGAGTGTTGTGTGTTGAGAGTGGGCTGTAATCTCCTGACCTCTTCTATGTTATTAAAAATAGTTCTCATAGAGCTTTCTGAGTTGGCCTTCTGTATTTTGGCTTGACCTGCATATATATAACTGACTCTCCATTGAATTCTCAGTCAGGATTTCCACAGCCATGGTAACTGCCACAAGGAGACATGCACAAAATAATTCTCACTACTATGTCTGTCGATTCTTTTGTGTGTGCCTGCTCTGCCTGAACCGATCACGAGAGGCTAAATGTCTGCTTGTGGCTTTTGAACGACTTCATTATTCATTCCACCCCAACTTAGCCCTTTACTACTGGTGCTTGGCTTGTGTGTCAGGATGAACAAACAATGTCTAAACAGTAATCCAAGGGCAAATTGCATATGCCATTGGTCTGAGTGCAGCCGCTGCTCTCTCCATGCCCTTTGATTCGGGAGAGTCTGGGTGTGAGTTACTCTGCGCAACAGGTCTCGGGTGTATTATCTCCACATTGCCGATAGTTGCCCTGAATGGCATAAAGGTTACAGTGACTTGCCTGGAGGAAAGGGGGTGGGGGTGTTTGGGTTTCAGCTGAAGTTCCTGTTTCTCAAGACCTTGCCACAGGGTATATGACAGAGATATTAGTGAGTTAGCAGCATTGCCATGGGAACCAGCACTCTGAATTTTTTGACTTTTCAGAGACTAAATTCTCTGTCTTAACATTACGTTAATGTGGTCTAGGGAGAGAGAAGGAACCAGGTGCTGGGGTATTTGTGTGACAGGAATAGCAAATGAATAAATGCCTTTATTTGAATTTGCAAGCTAAGGGTTGGGCATTCCGATGTCTGGAGGAAACACATTCTTTTCCTGGTGACAGGGGAAAAAAGTAGGAGGCAAAACTGGGGAGGGTTCCACAGCTGGAGACTTGCCGTTGGGGGAGTCATTGGACTGTGCAGGCTTTGGTTCACGCATTCCAGTCAATTTTCACATGCTCTAGGGATGAGAGTCCCTTGCACCCACTGTAGCCTGTAATGTCTGAAATAGATGCCCGGTGTGCCCATGAGACAGTCTTAGAAGAAGCCTGATAGTCTCTGTCTGGGTGACAGAGAGGGTGGGGGGCAGTGCCTTCCCAAATGAATATCCTAGATGGTATCGGTGTAGGCTGTGCAGATCATAAGTCCTCCTGCTCATCCTGCCCTCTGTCACCCGTTCCAGATTCTTGTGTGTTTTTAAAAGCTGTTGCCATGCAGTGGGTAGAGAAAGGGGAACTCTAGTCCAGCATATGCAAGATCGGATCTGACTATGTAATCAGGGAAACATTGCTTGGTTAAGCCTGCCTGCAGCTGGGCTGACTCCAGGGAAGACAGCTGATTTCTAGGGAGTTCTGCATGGGAGCAGCATCACTTTGGTAGGATCAGAGTGGAGGAAAACGCTCAGGAAACAGCTTAGGCTGCAAAGAAACTCATTTTGCCATGAACTTTGTGTCCAAGGCAACCAGTCCTCAGTCTTCGGTCTTTGCCCAAGCATGTCTTGTCCTGTCCTGCCACTCACCCCTGACTTGGCTTCTGAGGACCCTGCTTTGGAAAGGGAGTTAAGGTGTGGGCTGGCTGGGAACCTCACTGGGGGTGAGAGGGAACTGGCAAGAGACTGCTTGCAGAGTGGGTTGGGTTTGGGAAGACATGCTGGGTTGTGTGGGAAGGTGACCTTGTGTTTTCTATTGGAAAGGCTTTTGGGAAGGAGGGAAGAAAGGATGAGTGTCTTATAGAAAATACATTTTTCATAAAATTGGCTTAAAAAAAACCAAAACATTGCAGGAGAGCTGAGATAAAATGGAGAGAGAAAGTATGGTGTGGTGTCACAGGTATGACTATAATTCTGCTTCTGGACTGACTTGCTCAGCGGATGCATTCACGTCACTTGTATTTTTCTTTCACTTTTCAAACTCCAAAGTGAGATTTTTTTCTTTTTCCTGTGGCCCAGGGATGCTATGAGAGTTAGTCACTGATTGTCGTGTTTCTAAAAGTAGTTAACACTAAATAATGTTTCCTTGGTATGTAGAGGTAGAGTTTTATTTCTATCTCTTTGCTGTTTAATGTTATCTAGTATCCTGACTCTGCAAAAAAAAGTAATTAAAGACTGGGAGATGTGTTATAGTAACTATAGATGAAACAAATAAACAGGATGTAGAAACTGTTGTCCTTTACCCTCCTCCAAGGATTAATTCAGTATCTTGTACGTAGGGTTACAGGTAATAGACTGCTACAATGTTTTGAGGCAGCTGGACAATTGTGACCCCTTGTGTTGGCATTTCAGGCTCATCACAGGTGTGAGTCTCACTGAAGTTGTTTGAGTGGGCTACAATGCCCACATGTACGTGAGGTGCTAAACATGGGGAGTGCAGTGCTGTGAAACACCTACCATTCAGCATTTTAATAATTAGGCGTTGTGCTTGCAGTTGTTTTTCCTTGATCATATTGCTGTGTTAAGACACAGTTAAAGTGTGTTTGCATGCACGTAATGGATACTAGTTAGCTTCCTAATTTGGTTTTTAACCCCTCTCATTGCCTTCAGTGAGGGCTCATAGTATCCCCCACTGACTTGAGGCTCCCTAATCCCAAGTCTCTAATTCTGGCCTTCCCTAAACTGGTAGGACTGTGACCAGGCATCTGTTTGCAGAATATATCCTGTTCTGGATGGCATTGGTGGCTCTGCTCAAAAGTGCTGTGCTTCACACAAGTGGAGGTGTGTTACTCAGCCTGCCCTAAGCAGTTTGGAGTTCAAGCAAGATTTTGGAGGCAACATTCTGATTTATTCCTGAAAGGCTGATTTGCTTGTTCTGTAGGTTTCTCTGGTTCCTGCCCTGCCTTTCCCTACTCTTCTGAGGGGAACCACCTCTAGTCAGGAAGCCACAGCTAGAGGTGTTAAAGCTACAGCATGGATAAGTCAAGGGCTGGCAAGACTGCAGGATTGAGGTTATCCTTGTCTCCTATGCTTTCAAGCCCTGGGTGTGTGTTCTGACTCCATTTCCACATGCCTCCTGTCTAAGGATGTAGGTCATTAGCCAATATTGTTTAGTTTTGTTTATTTGATATGCATGGTGAGTAATCGCAGCCCTCTGAGAGTACACGTATCCCAACCTTAGGCTAAATGCAAAACTGGGTTTCTTTTCTCTGTTCCTGTCATAGCACCTAAGTATCTCCCAGACAGCCATGTAATTATCTTTGGCAGTAGCCTGATAAGATTAGGAAGTATTAGCCCCTTTAAAGTGGGCAACTTGAGGCAGTAAGTTCGTGAGGTCAAAAAGTGCTGTAATTTCTGCATGCTCCAAGTAAGACACTTTGGGAATCTGCAGGACTGCCTTCTTCCCTACCATCTTGGAATGTGGCATTTTTGTGGTGTTTCATGTGCTTTGACCCAAATGATCTCTCCTATCAGTTATGGAATGATAAGACCTTCCTTTTCTTCTGCAACCATGGTACTTTTTTTTCCCCCTCAACAATTTTTACTTGACAAGCCCTCAGTTCTCAAAACAGCTAGGAGGTTCTGAGAGACATTTACAAGGAGGAAGGAGCCTTGTGACCCACAGCTTGTGTTGTTACATGAGGATACGTGTATTTGTGACCTGCTACTGCTATTCTTTTGTCAGGATTCAGCTCAGCTAACAGAAAAAGGGATATCTGTAGTGATCTACTGGCCTTTGAATGGGGCAGGTGGTAACATGTATCCGATACTGAGAGCTCACAGACTAGCATATAATCTGCAGCATCTTCCAGGATGTGGCACTGAATCCAGCAAAATATGCTGTAGTAAATTAATCTAATAGATGAAGGTCTTTAGTCTTTTCTCTATCCCTGTGCTCTCCCTTAAGCCATATTTTGCCTGCCTGTTATCTATGTCAGTTATTCTTCTGGAGATGTAAAGTACTTCCTCCAAAGTGTTTATTTTATTTGGGAGGGAAACAAGAACAAGACAATCTTGGCAAGATTTATAGATGAATTTGCAAGCAATGTTGGAGGAGTTGGGAGGAGTTAACCAGGCAATATTTGCAGTTGTTGAGATTCTGCATCAAATCCTTCTTGAGATAGCTTGAAACTTTAAATTGTCTTGGCTATTCTAGAGAACAAGGTCAGTGTGAAATGTTGGGGTTTTTTTTTGTGAGCCAGTTTCTTTTGTTTCATTAGTAAGCATCTAGAGACGAGTCCTTCCAATGGCATCTTAAGGGCAACCCTTGGTCTAAGTAGAGTTGGTAGTGATGCCAGTTATATAGTCATGCCCCATTTGGAGGGGAGTTTTTTCTTCAAAGTATACCCCTTTCCTCCACAGCTTGAAAAATGTCACCAAGCTGGAAAGACATCTTTGTACATTACATGTTAGGCTTCTACTATCAACAAAGTTGTTTACTACAAGAAGGGGTCCCTAGTTCCTTGTTTCTGCCCTGCTTAAAGACTATCAGCAATTTAAATTAGAAGATGTGTTTGAAAGGGCTGTGTTGGACTTAGCTCTGTTAGCTTTGTCTATCTGTGTCTGCCTCTGTCATGACTAATCCTTGGACTGAAGAATCATTCTGGGTGGGGAAGTGTGGGTGCCCTTCCTCTGTGACTGGGAAGAGCAAAGTAGGCAGGGTTGCTGCAGCAGTTCTTGAGATGTGAAATTCTTTTGTGAATTAAGGCTTGTCCAAGTGAGGAGGTAGTCAGTCATTAGTTATGTAGTGGGTTGGGCTGTATGGGGAGAGGAGCACCTTAACTCTTGTACTATGTCCATTATCACAGGAATTTGCTATGGAATGTCTTCTACAAGTTTGAGTATCTGTAGAAATCTACCAGAAAAGAGAAAGGGTTGGTCGTTCCATTCAGTGTTCACCTCCAAAGCTATGTGATTGCCAAAGCGGTTTTGTTTGCTGCTCACTCCTTGCCCCTTTGTAATTTCTCACAGAACAAAGTCGCCGTGATGACCTGGAGAGCCTGGGTTATGTGCTCATGTATTTCAACCTGGGCTCGCTGCCCTGGCAGGGCCTCAAGGCTGCCACCAAGCGCCAAAAGTACGAGAGGATCAGCGAGAAAAAGATGTCAACGCCCATCGAGGTGCTCTGCAAAGGGTACCCTTGTAAGTGCTCTCATCTTGATGGCTGTCTTGTCTGCTGCTTGGCTTGTTCGCCTGCTGAAACCCCCTGGAATCCTGAATCCTAAAGGGCAGTGCCCAGTACCCCAGACCAGGATGTGCTGCTGACACGGGTGATGAGAAGGATAACAGAGAGGTCACGGTACAGTTCAGGTTCAGAAGTGGGAAATGTGTTTTTGTGGGCAGTCAAACCTTCGATAGTAAGGGCATGAGAGTGCTGAGAGGAGGGATCTTTAGGACCTGGTGAGCGTTTCAAAGGGGGGGGTTGGCATTGAGCTGAGAAGGTATGCTGATGATGCTGAAATTTTACTGTTTAATGAGGAGTCTCAGGAATAACCAGGCATTAAAGTGGCAAATGTAGTTCTTTGTAGGTAAACATGGAGTAATGTATGTGAGAACAGAGAGAAGTCTTGGTCCTCAGGTCATGTGCACAGTAGTAGGCTCTGGCTGACCAGTGTCACTCACCAATGAGCTGTTGCAATTACAATTGATAGTTCTGTGAAAACATCAACTTTGTGCTCGGTGGCTGCTGAGGAAAGGGAGCATTAGGAATTACTAGGAAAGAAGCCCAGTGTGCTTAAACCCATGGCCCACTTGCACCTTGCATACACTGTGTAGGTCTGGTCTATCCCACTGTTTCACTAAGGATATGGTATAACTGAGGAAAAGGCCAAAAGCGTGACCAGAGGTGAGTTGATTTCTGCCCAAGTAATGAGTTTGCTGGAAAAGGAGGTAGATAGAGAGATGGTAGAAGTCTACTCTCTGGCTGTGCCTACAGAAGTTTGGATGGGAGCTGATTATTTGGTGGCCCCAGTTTTTGTATTGGAAGAGAAACAACGCTGGTTTCTGCCAGCTTCAAAATAAAAGGAAGTGGTTCTTCACACAGCCAGTGTGGAGACCTGTGGAAGTCCTTCTCAGAAGATGTTGTGGATGCTTAAATCTTACAGGAGTTGGAGGAGAGATGGGACGAGTATGTAGAAGAGAAATTGTGAGAATTACTGAATAGTTAGGAACTACATGCAGATCAGGAAGTTCATGGAGCTGAAAGCAGGTCAGTGGAAGTGTCAGATGTGTCTGCCCCATTCTTTCTTCTCTCATCTACTTCTGACCATTGTGTATGACAGGCTACTGAGCTAGGAAGACTATTGTTCTGAGTTGAACTTCCCAAAACTTGTCTTCGGCTCTTCTTTAGGCCTGCATTCCTACTGTCATTCAGCAGCCACTGTGACTTGCTAGGTCTTGCTTGGAGAAGCCGACAGAAAGAGGTGCTTAACATTTTCTCTGGTAAAAAGAGAAATGGGGTCCTTTTGGTGGACAAAGCATTGCCACCAGCAGGCTCAGTCCATGTTACACAGCTCAGTGTTTGTGCTGCCCTGGTCCAGCAAGCCGCTGTTGAAAGGCAGGTTGGATGGCAAACCACAGCCATCAGCTGTTCTCTGCTCTCTCCAGCTGAGTTCTCGACATACCTCAACTTCTGCCGTTCACTGAGGTTTGATGATAAGCCTGACTACTCATACCTGCGGCAACTCTTCCGCAACCTCTTCCACCGCCAAGGCTTCTCCTATGACTACGTCTTTGACTGGAACATGCTTAAATTTGTGAGTGTGTTTGGCAGAAGGGCTGGACTGGGGTTGGTTTGTATCATGGAGATGGGGGAGGAAGGTTGGAAACTGCCTGATGTCTGTGCTTAGCCCTGGTAAACAGCCTGAGCAAAGGGACCGGGTAGAGTGAAAAAGAGGCAGAGTATTTTGGTGTATAACTAACTGGGGGTATAGTTACTGTTCTATTAGTGTGTCTGATGGAGCACTTGAGTCAGTAGATCTGTAGCTAGCGATAATTTTTCAGGAGAGAACTGTATTTGGAGGTGGGACATAGATGTGTGTTGCAATAACAGCTGTAGTTTATATGCTTTCTTACCTGTTTTGTTTTGGAATAGAATGAGGTCCCTTCTTGGTGCAGTGGAAAATGGTGAGGGGAGTTTTGGGGGTGGAGCTCCACTTTCTTGGCATGATGGAGCACCGTGTGTTTTCTGTCTGGGGCTGCTGCTGTCTCTCCTGCCTGACAGCCGTGTGTGGCGTCGGGGTTTCTCCACTCAGGGTGCAGCCCGGAACCCTGAGGATATGGATCGGGAGCGGCGAGAGCACGAGCGGGAGGAGAGGATGGGGCAGCTCCGAGGGTCAGCCACACGAGCGCTGCCCCCTGGTCCACCTGCCGGAGCCACTGCCAACCGTCTTCGCAATGTCACCGAGCCCATGGCCTCCACCCCCACCTCCCGAATCCAGCAGTCCGGTGAGGGGGGGTGGGAGAGCTGGGGGAGGGTGCCACCCCTATTGCTGGCCGGAAACCAAAGCTATTGACTGATATTCTCGTCTCGGCATTTCTCTGCCCCAACAGGCAACACGTCCCCCAGAGCAATCTCAAGAGTGGACAGGGAGCGGAAGGTCAGCATGAGGTTACACCGAGGAGCTCCTGCCAACGTCTCCTCGTCTGACCTCACAGGGCGGCAAGAGGTGTCACGGATTTCAGCATCACAGGTGAGTTCCTGCTGCAGTGTTCCTGGCCTTGGCCAGGAAGGTCTACAAGCCCCAGAGCAGTTTTTGCCTGATTTGCTGGAGCTGACATGAGCTGGAAGCTTCTGGTGTGGTGAGGGGAGTGGTACCAAGGTTACACCCTTGCTCTTCCTTGCTCTTCTATTATGTATTTTATGGAGGCTATGCTGAGTACTGCCATTTTAGCTCTCTGCCTTGCTTGGAATAAGCCATCATCTTGCTGTCTTCCAGACCACAGTGGTTTGGAGAAGCAAAGCAGTAAACTCTTGAGAGGGAGGGTGTCTTGAGAGAAACATGCAGTCTCTCTGTTTTGATGCCTTTTTTGCTTTTTATTGTCCTCTCCAGCCCTTAGCAACTCTTCTTTTTCTTTTGTAGACAAGTGTGCCATTTGATCACCTTGGGAAGTGAGGAGCAATTGCCACTGGACCAGTGTTTGCTTAGGTGAGCTTGTACTTATGCCGGGGAACTGGGAATTGGGGAAAAAAAGCCTTAAGTTAAGACTTTGTTGGTGTGGGGGATTGGTATATTTCCTTTCCTTTCATCTTACTTTGAGATGTCCTTTGGCCTCAGAGGGAAGAATAAGGTTGGCTGCCAAAACTTTGAGGGAACAGATTGTCTTAGGTGTAAAGGTAGCTTCCAGATCTCCAGGATGATAGGAAGGGTGGAGAAGGTGTTGGGCTGGGGAGCCATTTTGTTAATTCCTCATGAATGCTTTTCTGGCAGTGTGACAGTGTTGGGGTGGAGGGTGCTGAGCAGGTGATCAAGTGTGGAAGACTTAGTACAGCTACTGAGTGCCTCTTGTAGAGGAAATGACAGTAGCTGGGCAAGGTAACTCTGAGGGGAGGCAGGAGTGTAGAAGAAAGGGCTGATTTGATTTGTTACACTCCAACTGGCAATGGAAGTGCTGGGAAGAGCCTTTATTCCTAACATCTCTTGCCTTTTTCTCTCTTTTGAATTCTCTTTTTAGTGTCTTCACTGTATTTTTCTTTTAAAAAACAAAAAACCCAAAAAACAAACAAAAACTAAAAAAAAAAAAAAAAANAGAGCCTTTATTCCTAACATCTCTTGCCTTTTTCTCTCTTTTGAATTCTCTTTTTAGTGTCTTCACTGTATTTTTCTTTTAAAAAAAAAAAAAAACAAAAAAAAAAAAAAAAAAAAAAAAAAAAAAAAAAGACAAAAAAAAAAACCAAACAAAAAACCCAACAGAATTTCTTTTTGCCAACGATGAGGAGTCGAGCTGTGCCCCTGCGCTGGTGTGAGCCGTTTCCAGAGGGCCACCTGTCCCTGGTGTGAGCGCCTCCGAGGAACTGTCGAGGACGTGGGAGCTGTGTGGGAACGCCTGTGCTGCTCCCCAGCCCCTATCGCTGCCCCCACTGGCTACCCTCAGTTCCCTATCCTGACTCTGCTCCTGGTTTTGATTTCTCTGTTTTGCTTTTTCTTTTCTCCTTCTTCTTGCCTATCCTCTCCTGCTTTAATTTTTCTCTTTAATGTTGTTTTCAAATCATATGGTTTCTAGCCATATAAATTTAAACTTTGCTCTCCTTTTTTTCTGAGGGCAGGGATTGGTGGTGGGTGGGTGAGGTATTTTTTTTTGTATTTTTTGTTTTGTTCTTTTCAGGAGCCTTGTGGGCCAGGAGGGAATCAGATTCCAGCCACACTTGATGGTAGAAGTCTGATTTTTATTAGTATAACAGAATTTATTTTCTCAAGCATTAAACACATTTTAAGCTGTGAGGGGAATTGTGGTAACAGCCTAATCATTGACTCGGGCTTCCTTTCCTTGGGTGGCTTCTCTGCGGTTTCTTTTTTGGCTGTTGGGAGAAGTGCCAGCCTTCCCTGATCCAACTGGTCCTCACACACTGAGGGATCTCTTTGGAGAGGCACCTGGTCCCATGGAGGATGGGATAGTTGGAGCTGACATACAAGGAGAAATATACTTCTCATCCCTGCAGTGGGATCTTTTTATTTTTTTTTGTCTGGCTGTGCGTGTTTTTCTATTTTTATTTTTTAATTAAAACTTGTTTTAATTCCTGCGGAGAGAGTGTGGGACTTGAGGAGAAGAGAGGGGCGCACAGAAACTGGAGTTTGGAGTTCTTTCAGAGCGATGGTTCTTGCTCTCTCCTCATGCAACCCCAAGTAAGATCCACCAATACATGCACAATCCCCTCCTGCCCTCTCCCACCCGTTTCCCCCCCCTTTTCCCCCCCCGACTTTAGTTGTTTTTAAATATAATTTAGGAATTCTCAAGCTGCTTTGTGGCACTTGGGGCTTTGAAACACAATGATCACCACTGCGACCTATGGCCTGTAGCAGACACACTGTCACTGTAGTGTGGAGCCGATGGGTTGTTGGCAGGGCGGGGAGGGTGGGGTTAGTCTTTGTTTTGTTTGTTTTTACCCTTTCTATTTAACACTTTATTTTTCCTCCCTGTTTTTTTCCTAATTTATTTACCCCTCTTACTGTCTCTCTCTTTTTTTTAATTAAAGAGCAAAACTTTTTATTACTTTGTAATTTAAAAAAACAAAAAAAAAACCTGAAGAACTTTGGGGGGGATTTTGTACTTTTTTCCTGTGTAAATATTGGACTTTTTTGAGCTTTATCGTGGTTGTTAATTTGAAGTAATAAAGTAGAAAATGATAAAGTGACACCAGCATCTGTCATTTCTTCCTTTAATGGCCCTGGCATCTTTTCTGGGAGTCACATCTTAAATCACAGGAGGCATGGTGTTGCAGCTGAATCTGTTTCTGAATTCCAGGAACAAGTTTGATCAGAATTACTGGAAAAAAAGGCACAGGACTGGAGTGCCTAAAAATAAACCTGAGCTGATCTCTGCAGTTGCAGCCTTGGAACAGGCAAGAGTTATGTGAAATCTGATTCAGGATCTCTTGGTTCCTGGATCTGAGCCTCTGGCATCCCATGTGTCTGGCCTTGAGGAGGAGAGAGGGATGGGCCTTTCCACACCCTTGGCTTTGGGTGTGCGCTGACTTCGACAGATGTGGACCCTGGATTTTGTGGTTTTTGCTTTCTTCCAACTTAAGTCCTGAAGGAGAGGAGCACAGGGCACTTGACAACAGCACAGTGCCTGATGCAAACAGACTGAACTCTGTGATGTGCCACCTGCTGCTTTAGTGTCTGGTGGTGTGGTTTGTTTGGGTTTCTCTTCCTTTGGTTGTCTGACCAGTCTGGCAGTAAAATATTAAATTTTAATACTGATTTATTTCTAAATCGCTGCTCCTATAGCTACACATCCCTGCATTATCCTGATGAGAGGCCTGTTTCTTCCAGGCTCTGTCAAACCCTTGAAACTTATTTTCAGAAACACCTGCTGAGAATAAATGGTGGATCTTGGTGACTTTGCAAATTCTTTCCAAGCCTGTTCTCCGCCAGCTGGCCAGGAAGAGCTGTTCCTTTGTTTCCCTGCTGCAAGGGTCTTCCAGCTCCAGGGATGAGTGTAGAAAGGATGGGAAGAAGAAGGGGTATGGGAACTATCCAGGGCTGTGTGATATTCTGCAATTACCTCTATCCTGCAGTTGCCCTGCCTCCATTTTGAGTGTGCTTTTGCTGGATCAGAATGAAACTGGACTTCTTCTGTTGTAGATCCTGTTTTCTGTGAGAAAGGGGAACGTTTCCTGTGTGTAAAACAGCACTGCCATCCCTGCAGCGGGGTGGAGGCAGCAGAGCTGTGATCAGGCAGGGTCCAGGGCCTATGGGGGTATTTTGGGCAGGAGTTCTGGCCTGGGACAGAGTGGGAATATGCCTCCACTTTGGGGCATGTGTGGTAGGAGCTCCATATCTGATTCAAGATGGACAAGGGGACTTCTAATGCAGCAGGAGAAAAGGAGAAAACCAACAACCCTATCGCGGGTAGGATGTCACCTCCTTTTGCTAACACGGTCCTATTAAACTAGGGTGTGGTGCGTTTGCTTGCTTTCTTCCTTCGGCTTTTGTGGTGCTTTGGTTTTTTTTTTAGGACTCCGAGTGCCACGTTCGGACTTGAGTGGAAGCACGGCCTTGCTTTCCACACTTCTCCGTGTGTTTGTTTCCCTCGGGGTTTGGGGGGAATCTGCCTGAGGGAGGCTGTTCTGAGGCCAGCGCTGCCTTTGGCCGGCCGGGCGAGCAGAGCCGCCGGCCCGCCCGGCTGCGGAGCAACACCGCCTCACCCGCCGCGGCGGCGCTGCCCCTTTAAGAGAGGAGCGGTGACGTCACCCTGCTCCCCCTCCCGCGCGGGCAGTGGGCGGCGCGCGCGGCGCCGTGCGCAGGCGCGGAGGGAGGGCCGGGCCGGGCCCGGCGTCGCCATGGGCTCCTGAGGCCTCCGCGCCCCCGCGCCGGTGCCGGCGCCGCCCGCGGGGCAGCGGGCAGGGCCCGACCCGACCCCTCCTCGCCCCACCGGGCTGGGCCGCGCCCGCCCGCCCGCTGCATGGTAAGACGTGGCGGGGGCGGCTGCGGGCGCACGGGGCGGGCCGGGCCGGAGCAGCCGCGCTGGCGCGGGGGTGGCTCGTTGAGGCGCCCACCAACTCACCTTGCGCCCAACGTCGGCCCGGTGTGGTCGCTATTCCCGCTCCCCCGCAGTTCCTCCTCCCGTTCCCCGGCGTGACCTGCGCCACTCCCCGCGTCCCCACTCAGCCCTCCGCCCCGTTTCCCCCGCCCGGTGTGCGCCCCCTCCTCCTCAGGGCTGCCCCCGCCATTCCCCCTCCGCGCACATCCCTCCCGCATGGCCTCCATACCAGCGCACACACCGCGCACCCCCGCCTCTACCCACAGCCTCCCAGTGCAGCCCACCTCATTCCTTCCTCTCCCTCCTTCCCCAAAACCTGTCCTTGCTGCAGCTGCTCGGCTCTCCCTGTGCATGCACACGCACCAGCGCAGCCCCCTCGTTCCCCGGGGCTGTCACGCTCTTTGGTGCCGTTGGGTGCGTGTCCCTGTCTGCACGTTTGTGTCTGGTCCAGGGTGGGCTGGCAGCTCAGTAGACTGCAGTAACGTGATGGGCACCGGGTTTGTGTTTGTTGGGTTTCCTTTGGTTCGGACTGGTTGGACTGGCAGACGCCTCGTGCATGTGCTAGTGTGGTAGGTGTGCCAGGAGGCTGTTACTGTGCCTGTGTTCTCTTCCACTGCAGGTGAGTTGTGGTGGGTCTTGTTCAGATGCTCATGGTGTCTCGAAATCTCAATTGCTCTGTAAGGGCTAAATTCAGCCTTGGCAGCTGCAGTGTGTAGTAGAAGGGCTTTGGAAGAATGTGTGCGTGACTGAGTTCTGATAAATTGTGGAAAGGGACTAGAGTGATTTCAGGGACAGCCCTATGAAAGCTGCCTGGAACATTCTGAAGCTGTCAAGAGTGGGTGGAGGAGGAGGAGGAGTGGGAAATCTACGGGAAATAGCGAAGATGGCTCCTGCTTACAGAAGTTTCAAATTGTTCTTGCCGTGTAAGGAGCTTGAACAGGAGTAATGATTGAAGACATAAAGACAGGTTTCCCCAGAGAGAAGACTGTTTACCTCTGTTAAAGATAAAAATAGAAGACATTGATCAATAATAGAGCAAAGACTAATAGGGTGGATAGAAATGGCTTTCCTATCCTGCAGAAAAAAAAAAAACCAATCAATGAAAATGTAATAGAGCATACATCCCACTAACAAAGATTTGGTTCTTTTAATACAGCAGTTAACTGTGCCTTTGAACTTGTGTTGCTGGACATTACCCTTTGGTCTAAGAGCTTAGCAGCCTCCCTAAAAGGGAACACAGACTTCTCTAGAAATGTTTGTGTTATTCAGGTTTCTAATACTAAAGGTTTGTATTTGTGTGATACTGTTGGCAAAAAAATAAACTCTCATGCTTTTTAGGATGTTGGTAAACACTAGGGGTTTTGCCAGAGCTTTTCTTATGGAGGAAGTATTTCAGAAAGGCGTGCTTCAGGCTTTCTTTTCATCATTGTCCCCAAGAAAATGGGCTTCAAAGCTGCTCTAGTCACGGGGAGCAGGTTTTTAGGTAATTAACCATATTAACTGTCATTGGGACAGTTGTGCTGTAAACC